ATTTGAAGAAACTTTGGCGGCTGACCTGTGAGGAATATTTTGACTACCTACGTAGAGAATTGACCCTACAGATTTGGCGGGCATTGCATCGCTCCGTTTTCCGTTGGGCTGGGAAATTCTTAAAAAGTCACGAAAGCCTCCCTCCCCCTCCAAATGCCCCTTTGATCCGTCCTTGGTTTGATTCTCTTGCCTTCATCTCTTCAACAAAAAAGTCAGCCGATCACTCCATCCGTTACTCAAGCCAGCCAGTGGGCCGAACCTTGAGAAAGCTGTGGTGTCCAGAAACCGTTGCGTTCCGCAGGCGCCAGCTAGGCGACGCACGAGTCTGACCGTCCCTCATCCCTCCACACGAGCATGCAATTCCGGGTCACCGGAGCAACTTTTGCGGCGAAAGCTAAGTGTGTTTGAAGGTTCAGCACGGTCCGCCCTGCCCTCTGATGTCACCTTTAAGCGTAGCCGGCGGAACCAACCGTAGAACAGTCCGGTCAGGGGCAAAAAGCGAGCGACTTAAGCGACCCGAACCCAGCCCACCATGGCTGGATGGATTTTAAAGTAACCACCCCGAGCCATCGAAGCCGACATCTCCAGTATCTTACGCGTTCGCTCGCATTGTGCGTGGGCATCGCTTGCGAGCGTTTTTGCGTGCAGAGCGGAATCGCACACGCGGCAGCGCCGGTGACCGCGTCTTCGTACGATGCGGCGCCAGCACATGCCGCTTACGAGGCCGAGACTTGATGATGATGATGATTTGAGGTTTTAGGACGCATCGACTGCTGTGGGTCATGCAGCGCCCATAAATATCAATTTATGCAGAGCCGCCAATCAGGCACGTGCATCGATCAGGTCACCCTGTAAAGCCTTAATTATCAGGCCTAGTATCATGATGAAAAGACTACCGGGAAATCTATAGCGCGAAGAAACGGGAGCACTTTACCAGACTCGACAGCGTGCAAAGAATCCCCTAAAAAGTGACATAGCGTGCGACTCTGGATGCAGTGTCCGAAAAACTGCGCTCTCGCTGCAGTAAGGTGACGGCAGGCGACCAGTACGTAATGCATGGTCAGCGGGTCAGGGCATCGACTGCAACATGGTCTGTCGCCAGCCAATAGCAGGTGACGGTGCGTAGCATATGTGTGGCCTATGCGTAACCGGCAAAGAGCAACTTCTTCCCTCCCATTGTCCCGAAAACACGATTGCCATAGTCTAATACGGGGTTTCACGGACTGCAGCTTGTTGGCGCTCGGCGAGTTGCAGTGGAACCGCCATTGCTTCTGCATAAACGACGACACCGCGGGGTACATGCCTTCAGCTGGTAGTGGTGTTATAGGAACGCGTGTCCCTGTCGTAGCGCGCTTTGCTGCCGCGTCAGCAAGATCATTTCCACATATCCCCACGTGACTTGGGATCCAGCATAGAACGGCCGTTTTTCCTGCTCGATCCAGTGAGCTAAGACGCGATTAAATGTCCTGGACCAGTGGATTCGACGAGGAGAAGTCACCAACAACCAGGAGACTGCTCAAGGAGTCGGAAAGAATCAAATGCAGACTGCTGTCGTTCACTTCAATAAAACAGAGAGCTTTGCAGATGGCTATAAGCTCGGAAGTGAAGACCAACGCTTGTGAAAGCAGTGTAAATGACCGTGTTGTGAATCCACACACAAAAGCGCACCCTACACCTGCATCCGTCTTCGAGCATGCCGTGTAAATCATCATGTACCCATCAAAGGAGGCTATGCTCTCTAAGGCTGCGCCTTTAAGTTCCGTCCTCAGAACGCGTCGCTTTTGCATGTTTGATAGCGAAACAACCACTCTTGGCGACGCTAGCTCCCAAGGAGCAGTCCTCATGGGTTTAGGTGACGTCCGATGACACGTCATAGGCTGAGGCCGTTCGCGTCTAAAAGTTATCATTCGTACACAAAAGGGTGTACGAATGAGGGTGTAAGGGTGTAGGTTTGTGGTGACCGTTGACGTAGAAAAAGCCTTCGTAAGCTACGCGAAAACACTGCTTTGTAGGTGAGATGACCTGGTAACTGCACCAGCTTGTGCGTGTAGCACAGTCCCAGCACCTGCCTTCGCAATGCTAGTGGGGGCTCGTGAGCCTCCACCAGAAGATTATCTATGGGCGATGTTCGAAAAGCCCCTGTGGCGAAACGTAGTGCGGCGTGATGCACCGTGCTCAAAGTACGTCTGATGAGGTCCGATGGACCGTCATGGATAAAACAGCGGTAGTCAAGTTTTGAACGAATCAGGGAACGATATAGGAGTAAGAGTGCCCCCCTATCAGCACTGTATGATGTACGTCCCACTCACCTTAGGATATTACGAGATTTTAAACATTTGTCGCGGAGATTTCCTATGTGCTCACGGTATGTTAGGCGTCGGTCAAATCATATACCGAGAAATTTCACGATATTGTCATTGGCGACGCGTTGCCCATACAGCCTGATTTCCATTTCAGGACAGTAACGGCGACGACGACAGAAATGGAATACAGTTGTCTTCGATGTGGAAAACCGGAAACCGGTTAGCACACTCCGCTTTTCCATACGTGTGGTAGCCAGCTGCACCTGTCGCGCCATCGTGCGAGTGGTCGATGAGCTACACCAAATAGCGAAGTCGTCTACAAAGAGAGAACGGTTGATCCCATGTGGAAGCGTGTTCCCTATATCGTTTATCATCACTGCAAAAGGAACGACACTTAATACGCTGCCCTGAGGCACACCATTGTCCTGCGCATACCTGTCGGAGTGATAAGAACCAACACGCACCCGAGAAAGTCTGGCAGTCAAAAAGTTGTGTAAAAACTTTCCCATGTGACCGCGGATGCCACAAGCGAGTAACTTCATCATAATTCCATGTCTCCATGTGGTATCATAAGCTTTTTCTATGTCAAAAAAGATGGCGCCGGTATGGTCTTTGCTAATAAGCCCGGCCCGCACTGCGGTATCAAGAGTTAAGATGTGGTCAATCGTGCTCCTGTTCTTATGGAATCCGCGCTGAGCATTCGTAAAAAGTTTTGACGTCCTAAAGTCCACGAGGGCCGCACATTCACCACTCTTTCCATGAGCTTACAGAGCGAAGATGTAAGGGCGATCGGGCGATAGTCAAGGGCGTTTATTCCCCTTTTCCCGGGCTTTAAAGTAGGCACTACTATGGCCTCTCGCCAGGTTGGCGGGAAGTTACCAGACTCCCATATACATTTGAAGGCCGAGACTTACTGCTTTCTCAGAATGATCTGCTTGCGAACAATGACAACGCGGTGCAGTCCATCGAAGCACCGGTGAGCTTCGGCATACAAGAGAGACATAGACAACAGCAAAACTAGAGATGGCCGCCGTCAGGGACGGCCATCTCTGGATTCATGGGGAGCTGGATTCAACATTTCGATTCGGTGAGGCGGTTCTGGTAGATAGATGCTCTTACACAAACAACCATAGCGACTCTCCGTCGCACACCGTGTCGAGCTGTTCCATTGTATTTGTTCATTGCGGCACATGTGAAGTTATTAAGACACATCACAGGCAAATATCGTCATCATTCGAAAATACATCCCGGCAATAGTACAAGCTGTCGCCGCAGAACCTGCCGCCAGCACTCGCTGAGAAGGAGCGGCCCACTTCTAATGCCTACACCTCCGCTTTAGAAGCGCGCTGACAACACCACGTGCACAAGGAATCAGTATTTGAACAGCATTCCCGAGTACAATTGTGTGATATGGATGTCAGAGAATGCGCAGAAAACGTACCGCCACTTTCAGCAGCAAAGATGAATCACAGGCCAGGGAATACGTAAGGCTTCAGTTGCCTATATCACACATGACAGTGGCGGCGGCCTCGTCTTCACGAGACGACGCGGCGCCAGCTCACCCTTCTCACACAGCCTCCAACCGAATTATGCCACTGTCACTTGTACCGACACGCTTCATGACCACACCACATGCGATGCTCAACATCTGGTCCAGGATGGATCATGCGAATGGCAAGCTGGCAGCGAAACGGAAAACGGCTGATTCCTTGAAGCGATCATCGCCGTCTTCCTCACAACACAGAGAGACTCATACAGCCACAAGCCGCAAGGCGGCAATGACTGGCCTGCCTGTAAGTTCAAGCACGCACGCGTTCACCCAGTGAACATACCGCAAGTTGGACTGCTCCAAAGGCGAGACCCATCGCTGACTAAGTGAACATGGTAAACGGCGAGGGCTACTCGCAGGCACAGGATCAAGTCCTCCCTGAGGCGTTCAATGGCCGCATTGTCTTCCACGGCCGACACAAGCATAAAAGATGCAAAGCGCCCACCCTAAATCAACAGACATGCTGCGACCTAGCATTCTCACGGGTCAAAAATAGCCACTGTGTTCATCGCCAACGAACCATTGTGGTTCTACCACTATTGTTGCCCCTGGGGTATCGATTGCTTATACGGTACGTGTTACTTCCTCCGGCTCCATGAGCCAACTGAGCGCTTCATCGACCCCCTGTCCTCGCGGCACTTTCGCCGGTCCCCATTTTTCCGCCGAGGAACTCCACCGGTCCCTCCCCCAGGAGCCCACCAGTTCCCTGTCAGACTGGCTCACGGGCTCATCATCATCTGATCGTGACGCCATCACGTCCCACGCCCACGTCCACCACCACGTCCCACCCGGAACTCCCCATCAGCTTTGCTCAGAGCACGCGCTCAGCGACCCGCCGGACACCGTCCCCAGCCCGCCGCAGCTCCACTCAGAGCACGCGCTCAGCGACCCGCCGGACACCGTCCCCAGCCCGCCGCACCTCCATTCAGAGCACGCGCTCAGCGGCCCGCCGGACACTGTCCCCAGCCCGCCACAGCTCCACTCAGAGCACGCGCTCAGCGGCCCGCCGGACACCGTCCCCAGCCCGCCGCACCTCCATTCAGAGCACGCGCTCAGCGGCCCGCCGGACACCGTCCCCAGCCCGCCGCAGCTCCATTCAGAGCACGTATTCAGCGGCCCGCCGGACACCGTCCCCAGCCCGCCACAGCTCAGTAGATGGCCGCCTCGGGCGCGTCCGTCCGCAGGGCCGCCTCCTCGCCGTGCGGGACCTCATCGGCGCTGGGCGGGTCACGCTTCACCCAGCAGAGAATGTTGATCCACACGAACGAGCACACGCCGACGAAGGCCACGCGCACCGACGCCGGCAGGAACACGAAGTTCACGATCTGCGCTGGCACCCAGAAGTACACCTGTTTCTGGAGCACGGCACAGACGCAGGTTAAACGTCACGCAAAAGGCGGCGCAGAAAGGGGCCCGCACGTGGCCCGAACGGGTTTAGTTTACACTTTTCGCACATGTGCGCAGCATTGGAAGTTGAAAGCAAAGCTGTGATGTTAACTAGTTTAGACCTACAATGTTCAACATGAGCTGAATCTGTAACTTGGCATCGTGAGAAAACGATAGCCTACAGTATTTAATGATGAAATCGGCGGCCGTGTATAGCCTTAGCGGTGGAGCCATTCAATGTGACGGGTACGAAAAAATGAAATTTCAGGTGGCTGAAACCACCACGACAAACATTTCATCTGTTATCATGGAATTAACGATTTTTGGCTTAAATAGTCTCTAAACGCCACACAAAAATCCCTAACACCGAGATTGCTACCTTTTTATGTTTTGCCTCCAATCGTAACGCCACGGACCACAGCGCTATCACAGAGAAGATACCACCAGGAGATACTCGCCTCCTTCTTGGTCACTGCAGCCTTATGTAGGTCAGAGGTGAGGCAAATACCCGACGGAATTATTACCGCGTGAAGAAATAACTTCCGAGAAAAATGAGAACGCGAGTTCAGTCATGAATGCATAGTGCGAATTTACATATCCCCCACAAAAAATCAGCAAACCCAAACGCTCTCATTTGTCTCACGATTGTCTCACGAAGTGTTTTCCTAATTCAAATGCCGCCGCACATTAACAGCCGCCAGCAGGTCGCGCATCCTCACCAGAACAGTAGCAACGTACTTCTCGCGGATCTCCGATAGCTTATCTTCTCTCTGCTCCATCAAGGCCATGCCTGTGATGCAAACAAGTGCATAATCTATAACCATGACGGTGTTATCCGGGGTGCTCGGAAATAGATCGGCTTCCAGACAGTTGAGGCACTGTGACTTATGACCAAACATGAAGGCCAACTAGAAGGATAACAGATGAAATCCATCACGCCACAACCCCCGCGAGGCGTCGACGCGATATCTCGAACCTGCAGAATCACGACTTACCCCGATAAAACACGACAAAATACTACTAACAGAAGGCGATGAGTGTGACTCACTGTAGAAGAAGATGAAGACGTCGATCGGACCCATAACAGCCACGTCGAGAAAGACCTTCTTCGTGACAACACGAGCCGAGACGCCCACAAAACGCGAGTCCAGCCACTTGTACCTGCCAGCGATGGCATACACGTGATCCCCCCATCCACTTGTACCAGCCAGCCTTGGCATACACATGGTCCCATCCACGCCGAGCACATACCACGCTTCATAACGGGAATGATGAGGCTGCTGTGACATACGTGACGACACAAAGAAACCGTGACGATACAAAGCTCAGTTTGCTTTCCTTGCCCATGTCCTAAGTTGTTTTGTTGCTACGCTGGAGGGAAAGATTAGCTTGTTTCCATGAAAACTGATCATGACATGAAATGTGTACAACACAATGGTGGGTGTTCAAGAGTACCACACTTCCGCTGACACCGGCTGTAGTATTACAGCAATACTACAAAGATCCATTTGCTTTTCGCAACTATCCTACCTGAATCTGAGATTTCATCTATGTTGCAACCAAGCAATATTTTATGGTTACCTGGACTCTGGGACATGCTCACTTCACCATAACGTAGCATCTGTGGCTGTGATAGCACCTGTGATTCATAACTGTACCGAACAATACGGGCAATACGGGGGCTGGGACGAAAAGAAGTCTTGCTCGGTGAAATTTCCCATCAAGTGCAACAAGTATTCGGCTACAGCTGGCAAACCGGTACTGCTCAGCAGCTTCATAAAACGCTACGAGAGCACCGCTTGCAACGCTGTACAAGCCGCTGGAACACTGACGGAACGCTGAAGAGGTGTAGTGAGGGACAAGTGTCGGCTCCGGAGCATTGGCTCCGGGGGTGTCGGTTCCGGGGGTGCCGGCTCCGGGGGTGTCGGTTCCGGGGTGCCGGCTCCGGGAGTGTCGGTTCCGGGGGTGCCGGCTCCGGGGGTGTCAGCTCCGGGGGTTGTCAGCTCCGCGGGTGTCGGCTCCGGGGGTGTCTGCTCCGGGGGTGTCAGTTCCAGGGGGTGTCGGCTCCGGAGGTGTCGGCTCCGGGGGGTCGGTTCCGGGGGTGCCGGCTCCGGGGGTGTCGGTTCCGGGGGTGCCGGCTCCGGGGTGTCGGTTCCGGGGGTGCTGGCTCCGGGGTGTCAGCTCCGGGGGTGTCGGCTCCGGGGGTGTCGGCTCCGGAGGTGTCGGCTCCGGGGGTGTCGGTTCCGGGGGTGCCGGGTCCGGGGGTGCCGGCTCCGGTGTCGGTTCCGGCGGTGCCGGCTCCGGGGGTGTCGGTTGCTGGCGATGCCGGCTCTGGGGTGCCGGCTCTGGGGTGCCGGCTCTGGTGTCGGCTCCGGAGGCGTTGGCTCCGGGGTGTCAGCTTAGGGGTGTTGGTTCCGGGGGGTGTCGGTTCCGGGGGTGCCGGGTCCGGGGGTGCCGGCTCCGGGGTGTCGGTTCCGGGGGTGTCGGCTCCAGGGGTGTTGGTTCCGGGGGTGCCGGCTGCGGGGTGCCGGCTCCGGGGGTGTCGGCTCCGGAGGTGTCGGCTCCGGGGGTGTCGGTTCCGGGGGGTGTCGGCTCCGGGGTGCCGGCTCTGGGGTGCCAGCTCCGGGGTGCCGGCTCCGGGGTGCGGGCTCTGGGGTGTCGGCTCCGGGGGCGTTGGCTCCGAGGTGTTAGCTCAGGGGTGTTGGTCCCGGGGGTGTCGGCCCCGGGGGCGTCGGCCCCGGGAACCGGGGTGCCGGCTCCGGGGTGCCGGCTACGGGAGTGTCGGCTCCGGGGTGTCGGCCCAGCGTTCCACAGGGCGCTGCTGACCGGGGCCAGAGCGCGCCTGACCGCTCGCTCACCAGGCGTAGAGCAGCGGTGGCGCGATGGCGTATCCAAGGACGCAGTACCGAGCGACGGCGGCCCGGTCCAGAGGCTCAGGCTTCTTCGGCTCATGCTTCACCTGCCAATGACACCCAGTGCATGCCACCTATGGACAGTGTGCATCTCTCTCTTGGCCTGGGGGTTCTCTGCTGGCCCGAGGCCTCAGGCTGAGTGCACTGAACAGAGGCACAAGATCTGGAGGCAAGCTAAGTGGGCCTCAAACTGGGTGGGACACAGAGGCATCTACACATAAGGCACAACATATGTGATAACTCCTGATCTAAGACTTGCCTGACTTGCACAACTTGCAGAGAAACTCACACATTATCTGACAGTAATAACTTTGGTGACTTCTTTGGCTTTCTCCCTGGGTTGTGAAAATGACCCAAAGCCTGCTCTCTCCAGGAGCAAGTGCTCATCATTCAGTGGGAATTGAGTGTGAATGGTGAACTTCACAACTTGAAGCAGGAAGGTTCATTTGCGGCTGCTTCATGTTTTCCTTTCCCTTGCTCAAGGGAAAGGACATGATATGCCTCACAAGCTCATGTTTACTTAAATGTACAAACTTAATGTAATACTTTTCATCCTGTACACACTACATACAACAATGTATGTGCATCTATCTCCTGTACACTGTGCGACACCAGGTCACATGGTCAACATTGACAACAAGGGAGCTGTGTTAAGAAAACAAACACTTTTAGAGCATAATGTCAAGATGAAGGCAGGCAGAGATGTGGCAGTTGGCATACCATGACTTTTTTCACAAATGTCTGTTGGCTGACTTCTGCTGCCACAAACATGGTGCCATAGATTGCAGCATTGCTTAGCAGAGGGTGTTTCTTGAAGAACCGGCGCAGCATTGCCATTATGCAGCCTCTGCTGAAAGCAGGTCAAACTTAGCAACAGCACTGTTGCTCAGTCTGTAGAATTGGGCATATACATCAGGGAAATGGGATGCATTGATAGATATGAATGTGAACATAATGGGCACAACACAGCTGTACTTAACAGGAGTGTCAGAAGAAGTGGTATTCTTCAAGTACTTCACCTTTTTTAGAAGAAGAAATATCTCCACCGCGAGCGTTTTACGCGCAGTGCGGCACGGGCTCAACCAGCTCGCGTTAGCAGGATTGCCCAACTTTGAAATCATACAATCCAAACGACATCTTTAGCACCAAAAATAAAGAGCAGGCAATTAACATTATTCATTACGGCGTTTCGGCCACTGCTACTCACAATGCTCGCATGATTGCCTATCATCTTCAAGAAATAACCATCTGATAATATACTAATTTCGGCCTCAAACAGGTCATATGATTTTTAACACGCAGCCGACGATTTATAGCATGTACTAAAAGGGCAACATAAGCACCAAATTACGTACATTCGAGCAATTAAGAAAAGTATCCCAGTTTTTCACATTCGTGTCTCGAATTGATATTTCCAAACAGACAGCACAGAGAAAAATCCAACAATGTCGGCGGAACTGAAGCATTTCCAGCAGTCTTAAAAAACGGACCAAGCCGCGGGAACCAAACACCGAAGCCAAGCCAACGTTTTCGGTGCGGTACATTGACGTCTATTAGCGCAGTGCATCTCATACACGAGTCCGGATAATGTGATTCACACTGATTAGGACCAAACACATCGTGACGACATTGTCGCTTAAACTACAACACTTGGATTCAATTAATATGACTACTCCGTTTGCCGTGACATGCTGCCATCATGTCGTGCAGAGGGACTGTCGTAGTACCCTCTTAAAGTAGTGCACCTCTCGTACAATTCCAACGAGCAAGGCTTGAAATCGCTCTGACATCCAGAGACATACTCTGCCGAGATAATATGCCAACAGCCACCCTAAGGAAACGGATCAAGCCTCGGGAAACGAAGACTGAAGCAAGGCCAGCGTATTCGGTACGGTACATATACGTCTGTTAGCGTAGTGCACCTCACACACGAGTCCGGATAACGCAATTCACACCTTTAGAACTGAACAGTCGTGCTGACAATGTCGATGGAACTGCAAGACTTCGGTCCGATGAATAAGACTCATGCATTGCCGTGAGATGCTGCAATCATGTCGTGCAGAGGGACTGTCGTAGCACCCTCTTAAAGTAGTGCACCTCTTGTACAATTCCAACGAGCAAGGCTTGAAATCGCTCTGACATCCAGAGACATACTCTGCCGAGATATTATGCCAACAGCCACCCTAAGGAAACGGATCACGCCCCGGGAAAGAAGACTAAAGCAAGGCCAGCGTTTCGGTACGGTACATATACGTCTATTAGCGTAGTGCACCTTGCACACGAGTCCGGATCATGCGGTTCACACTTATTAGGACCAAACACATCTTGCTGACGATGTCGGTGGATATGCCAGACCACGGTCCGATGAATAAGACCCATGCATTGCCGTCAGATGTTGCCATCATTGGCGGGCGGACTGCAGTAGCACCCTCTTCAAGTAATACACCTCTGGTATAATTCCAATTGGCGGGACCTAAAAACCGCTCTGACATCCAAAGACATACTCTACCATGATAATATGCCAATAAAAATCCTAAGGATACGGACCAAGCCTTGGAACCGAAGACTGAAGCTAGGCCAGCGTTTTCGGTACGGCACATATGCGTCTATTAGCGCAGTGCACCTCGTGCACGAGTCCGGATCAGGCGATTCACACTTATGGAAATTAAACACATCGTGCTGACAATAACGGTGGAACTGCGAGACTTCGGTCCGATGAATAAGGCTGATGCATTGCCGTGAGATGCTGCCATCATGTGCGGACAGGCTGTAGTAGCACCCTCTTAAAGTAGTACACCTCTTGTATAATTCCAATTGGCGAGACCTAAAAACCACTCTGAAAGGCAAAGACACACCCCGCTGAGATAACATCCCGACACGAACCCTGAGGAACGAAGCCAAGCCCCGGGAACCGAGGACCGAAACAAAGGCAACGGTTTAGGTACGGTACATATACGTTTTCTCGTGCGGTGCACCTGAAACAAGAGCCCTTACAACGCGATTCACACTAAGTAGAAATAAACACATTGTGCCGACAATGTCGGTTGAGCTGCAATGGTTTGATTCAATGAATAAGACTCATGCACTGTCGTGGGATGTCACCATCATGTGCGGACAGACTGTAGTAGCATCTTCTTAAAGTAGTGCGCCTCTTGCATAATTCGTTGGCGAGACCTAAAAACCGCTTTGTCATCCAAAGACACACTGTATCGAAAAAACGTCTCAACAGCAATTCTAAGGGAACGGACCAAGCCCCGGAAACCGAAGACCGAAGCGAGGCCAACGTTTTCGGTACGGTACATATGTATTTATAAGCGCAGCGTACCTTATACCATCGTCAGCAAGATGTGTTTAGTCCTAATAAGTGTGAATCGCATGATCCGGACTCGTGTGTGAGGTGCACTACGCTAACAGACGTATATGTACCGTACCGAAAACGCTGGCCTTGCTTCAGTCTTCGTTTCCCGGGGCTTGGTCCGTTTGCTTAGCGTGGCTGTTGGCATATTATCTCGGCGGAGAACGTCTTTGGATGTCAGAGTGGTTTCTAGGCCTCGCCAATTGGAATTATACAAGAGGTGTACTACTTGAAGAGGGTGCTACTGCAGTCCGCCCGCCAATGATGGCAACATCTGACGGCAATGCATGAATCTTATTCATCGGACCGTGGTCTGGCATATCCACCGACATCGTCAGCAAGATGTGTTTAGTCCTAATAAGTGTGAACCGCATGATCCGGACTCGTGTGTAAGGTGCACTACGCTAATAGACGTATATGTACCGTACCGAAACGCTGGCCTTGCTTCAGTCTTCGTTTCCCGGGGCGTGATCCGTTTCCTTAGGGTGGCTGTTGGCATAATATCTCGGCAGAGTATGCCTCTTGATGTCAGAGCGATTTCAAGCCTTGCTCGTTGGAATTGTGCAAGAGGTGCACTACTTTAAGAGGGTGCTACGACAGCCCCTCTGCACGACATGATTGCAGCATCTCACGGCAATGCATGAGTCTATTCATCGGACCGAAGTCTTGCAGTTCCATCGACATTGTCAGCACGACGTGTTCAGTTCTAAAGGTGTGAATTGCATTATCCGGACTCGTGTGTGATGTGCACTACGCTAACAGACGTATATGTACCGTACCGAAAACGCTGGCCTTGCTTCAGTCTTCGTTTCCCGAGGCTTGATCCGTTTCCTTAGGGTGGCTGTTGGCATATTATCTCGGCAGAGTATGTCTCTAGATGTCAGAGCGATTTCAAGCCTTGCTCGTTGGAATTGTACAGGAGGTGCACTACTTTAAGAGGGTACTACGGCAGTCCCTCTGCACATGATTGCAGCATGCCACGGCAACAGAGTAGTCATATTAATTGAACCCAAGTGTTGTAGTTTAAGCGACAATGTCGTCACGATGTGTTTGGTCCTAATCAGTGTGAATCACATTATCCGGACTCGGGTATGAGATGCACTGCGCTAATAGACGTCAATGTACCGCACCGAAAACGTTGGCTTGGCTTCGGTGTTTGGTTCCCGTGGCTTGGTCCGTTTTTTAAGACTGCTGGAAATTCTTCAGTTCCGCCGACATTGATGGGTTTTTCTCTGTGCTGTCTGTTTGGAAACATCAATTCGAGACACGAATGTGAAGAACTGGGATACTTTTCTTGATTGCTCGAATGTACGTAATTTGGTGCTTATGTTGCCCTTTTAGTACATGCTATAAATCGTCGGCTGTCCGCGTGTCAAAAATCATATGACCTGTTTGAGGCCGAAATTATTATATTATCAGATGGTTATTTCTTGAAGATGATAGGCAATCATGCGAGCATTGTGAGTAGCAGTGGTCGAAACGCCGTAGTGAATAATGTTAATTGCCTGCTCATTACTTTTGGTGCTAAAGATGTCGTTTGGATTGTATGATTTCAAAGTCGGGCAATCCTGCTAACGCGAGCTGGTTGAGCCCGTGCCGCACTGCGCGTAAAACGCTCGCGGTGGAGATTTTTCTTCTTCTAAAAAAGGTGAAGTACTTGAAGAAAACCGAAGAAGTAGGCAAAGGGCTAGACTCACAAAAACACAACCTAAATTACTGCAAGCAACACACTTAATTTTTGGGTAGATACCATTATATCCAGCACCCAAAAATATTCCTTCAAACACATAATTTCAAAACATTACCACTATACTAAGGGCCCAAAGAATAAGCTTGCACAGAATGTGCACAGCCCTGAGCATGAGTGATGTGCACCTTGAGTTACTGAGAATACCCAGGTATCAGTGAGACCCTAAAGGTTAATCAAGCTCAGATAATATGCCAAGAAAATATCCAAACCACCATCATATAGGCCAGGCACGTGCCCACGCGCCCGCAGTGCCCCAGTCCGCTGGCAGCCAATCAGAACCTGACGGCCGGTCGCTGAGTGTAAAATGAACTGTTTCGAGCACATGAGTTACACTCAACTACCTTTTCCAGGTTGCAGGAAAGCCCTAAACCTTCATTTAGCCCGTGTCCTTTAATGGCGAAAATACCCTTCCACTACACATGCCACTAATTCAGCACGGGTGCTGCGGTCAGCTGAGTATGCTGAACTGGTAAAGTTCGGAACATTTCCAGCTGATTGTAAGATGACGTCACAAACCACAAAATCGCCTCACCTGATAACAGGTATGAAGAAGGTATGCATACGGGTGCGCGTCCAAGCTTGGTTTATCTATGGAAAGTCTATCTATCTAAGGAAAGTGCCCAGATGTCAATCTGGGCACTTTCCTTCACACAAGCATCCTCTCGTTAAACCATCATTGTGGATCATAGTGGATCATAGTGAACGGTGATCGCAGGGAACAGGGAGGGACAGAACGGGATCTGACAGAACCAGACAGAGCCGGACCAAACCAAACGGAACCAGGTGCACCTTGATGAAGCAAGACTTGAATACGAATATCACACTAACTTGGCGGGTATCCATCCAGTCCGCCCGGTTCGTCCGATGCCTTCGAGTCCCATTTGGTGTCACTGCATTCCATCCAGTTCTGCCCAGTCCCGTTTGGTCGCGTCCGGTCCAGCTCAGCTTTGTCCAGCTTCATCCAATCCCTTCAGATCCCGTCTGGCTCCGTTTCGTAACTTCCATTGCGATCCAGCTCGACAGTGTTGAAAGGATACGTGATTTTTTGGTTTTGTGACGTCACTATGCAATCAGTTTGAGGTGTTCCTGGCCTTTATTTTCCCACAACCATCGACACTCGCGCCTCAGGGTTACAGGTCGACTGTTGACTGTTTAGGCGGTACGTGTGAGGTTGCATGCTATTTATTGTAATTTCGTTCCAAAATGTCTAATGCGTCTGAAGATACTAACATTGTATACGTATTGTATTCCATTCAGTTGATTTGGTTTGCTTGGGAAGTGCGAGACCTACGGTGATGACAGCATGTGACTGAACCTGACCTAACCTGACCAAGCTTAACCTAACTTAAGCTAAACTGATCTAACCTAACCTAACCGAATCTAACCTAACCTAGCCTAACCGAATCTAACCTAACCTAACCTAACCTAACCTAACTGAACCAGACCTAACCCAACTTTACATTATCTGACCCAAACCAAACTGACCTTTTCTAACCTCAGATCATGGTCAGGGATTTTAAGCAAAGGGCTGACATTGATACTCTTGAATTGTGCTGTGATGATGTGGAACCATGTGGAACATACAGAACCTGTGTTGTGTAATTTTATGTACAAGCTTATATACAAGTGTACACAATACAGGTTGTTTAATAAAATGATTATGTAATTACTATATTTTGAAGGTATGGTAAGGCAATTCTGGAGTGCACTATCCCATTCAGTTTTGTGTGAGAGCCTTCAAGCTTGGCCACCTCGCCCCCCCAAAAAAATTTGCTTCAGCCACCCAACATTGGAATGAAGGTGGGCCAAGTCCAGGGAGTTTTATTATTTCAGGGTGGGTTTCATCATTTTCTGCTGCTCAGCCTTTTCTACTCATTGGGAAAACAGTGCCTCCAATATAGCATGTTATCTGTGTGATTACTGACTCCCTGAAATTGCCAGCAGTTTTGCTTTTTGTCTAACATTTGTTGTAGAACAAAACTTAATGCATCAGTTGGTAGTCCATGTAATAACCTGCTATACACACACAAGATTAGGTCTATTCAATTGTGGATATTCTTTTAAAATGCAATTCATCATGCTGACAAGGCTCTGCAATTGTTCTTCCAGAGCAAATGTAATAGCATTTCCAAGAAATAGTTTTCAGCCCCAAGAAATCCAGAAACCCCAAAAGTAGATATCCTATGCCTGTAGAATAGTTGCCAGCAGAGGTCCCAATCTAAAACTGAGATGTCAAGAAATGGTGGTGTGAGGAGAAAGCTTCTGACAGCATAAGAATACTTACTACATGAATAATTCCATGTGCCATAATTTTGTACACATCAAACTCAAATTGTGTTTATAACTGTAAGGGATTTACAGCTGTTGAAATTGCATGAAATATGCAAGCTTTACAATTCAGGCAGATGGATGGATCAGAAGGGTGGATCTAGGATCCCACAGAGTTACATACTGATGGGATCCTGGCACCATTTGGAGTCTAGGCACATGTGTGCTTACATGAACATCAGGAGACCTTAAATAAACATAAACACCACCTACATGTTGGGTAGGTGGTGTTTGCCTTCCAGTGCCTGCTGATTGGCTGGAATCAAACCCCATGCCTTTGGTTTCCCAGATACCTTATGTATTATGCTAGTCATCATCATTGGTATTATAGCATCCACCAGTGTTTTTGACATCTACCCCACTACCACGCCTCTGCGTGTTGTTTCAGCGGCCATGTTTCTCCGCCCTGTGCTGCTCGCGCCGGTCGCCGGCGCCGCGCGCGCCCGGCTGCTGCCGCGCGCCGCCTCCTCCGTCGCCACCACGGAGCTCAGCGTCGATTACCTGCTCGGCGAGAGCACCGGCATCGTGGCCATCTCGATGAACCGGCCGGCGGCCAAGAACGCCATCAGCCGCAACATGCTGTCGGCGATGGCGGAGGCGGTGGAGAGCGTGCAGTTCGACCGGACTGTACGCGCCGTCATCATCCGCAGTCTGGTGCCAGGTGCCTTCTGCGCCGGCGCCGACCTCAAGGAGCGCGCGCGCATGAAGCCGCACGAGGTGGGGCCGTTCGTGTCGCGCGCGCGCGGGCTCATGTCCCAGCTGGAGGCGCTGCCGATGCCGGTGATCGCGGCGCTGGACGGCGTGGCGCTGGGCGGCGGCCTGGAGATGGCGCTGGCGTGCGACCTGCGCGTGGCGGCGGCGCCGGCCAAGCTCGGCTTGGTGGAGACGCGGCTGGCCATCATCCCGGGCGCGGGCGGCACGCAGCGGCTGCCGCGCCTGGTGGGCGCCGCGCGCGCCAAGGAGCTCATGTTCACTGCCGAGGTGCTGGACGGCGAGCAGGCGGCCGCTATCGGCCTGGTGGAGCACGTGGTGCCGCAGACGGAGGCTGGCGACGCCGCCTACCAGCGCGCTGTGCAGCTGGCGCGGCGCATCGTGCCCAACGGCCCGGTCGGCGTGCGCATGGTGAAGCGGGCCGTCAACATGGGCATGCAGACTGACCTGGCCACGGCGCTGGCCATCGAGGAGGCCTGCTACGCGCAGGTCATCCCCACCAAGGACCGCGTCGAGGGGCTCACCGCCTTCAAGGAGAAGCGTGTGCCCAACTACACGGGCGAGTAACGCGCGGGGACGCGAAGACGGGCGGGGTGGTGACTCGCCGCGGTCGGCGGCTGCGTGACGCTCCCGGCTGTGCATGGGGTGGAGGCTGAGAGCGAGCCGCGAAACACTCAATGAAACAATTACAAGAAAGAAGCCGCTTTGGCGTCGCGAAGCCGCTGTTTAAGCGGTACGGGTCGTGTGAGCGCACGAGGTTGTTGAAGAATAGTCGCATGAGCCTCCCGTTTGATAACTTGCAATATGACAACGGCGTTGTGACGTCGAAGGAGTGTTTCTAAACACGTCAGTGGTACGGATCCTGTCGCCTGCCGCCCGGTTCGCTTGGCGGGTGTGCTGAGACGTCTGGTGGTGGGCAGGGGCGCGGCGGTGTGTGCTCGGGCCGCCCCCACGATGGTGACGCGTGTGATCAAACGCCCCCCCCCCCCCCCCCCCCGTCGCAGTCAAGTGGTCCTTGTACGGGGTCGTCAGGTCGATGCGGTGCAATGAGCCAAACAAATAATGTTAAATCGTGGTGAATGCACTGGTGATATGTTTCAGCATCATGAATACAGTTTAGTCAGCTGTGTGTAGGACCCCGACGCCGTGGATCGTGCAGATGGTCGATGTGCGATGCTGAATCAGGAGCCAGTTGCCGAGTTGTGGTAATAGCGGCACATTCCGACAGATTCCAGACGTGGACGCGGCTTGCTGAGTATATTAAGACCACATAAACAGACGGCGTAAAGATCACATAAGCAGACAGCGTATACATTTCGAACACGTTGACACCGCTTGCTCGATTATATAAGGTTACATAAGATGACATAACGCAACTCTTGGAACTTCAGAATACCTGCCCGCAGAGTATTAGCGGCGCGCGAGGCGGCATGACAGAAAGTGGTGTCTGCTTTTGTTCTTTTCGCTGCCGTTCGCGTTGACAGTACCACCACTCCACGCCATCAATACTGATTGACCCAAAATGGAACACAACCGCACGAGCATACTTCAAGAAGAGTACCTTATCGTAATGCAACATCAGTTTTCGTCGCAGATAGAACCGTATAAGCCACGGTTGTCCGCGAAACATGGTTTTGTCTGCATGCGTAGTAGGGTTTTGGACATGGCACTCGTGGCTTTGCAATTTTCGGGCAGAATTGTCGCGCGTACTGTGCACTGCACCTGAAAGTCGCTTATTGTCCAAATAGTAATCCACTGCTAGCCATTCGCACACCATAACGATACAATTCGTGCCTGATAACTTGCTCCGAGCATACCTGCAGTCATCGAGAACATCCACGAGAACCGGGTGGCCCGCAACACAGAAGGCATGGACAGATCCGGGGAAGGGGGAGAGGATGAGGGTGCAAAAAATCACCCTGTCAAAGTAAAATATGTGATCCATCCAAGCGGATTGTGTTTTGGTGCGAACGACACCAAATTTTGAACGGGAGTCCGGAGCGGACTTCGACCTCCCCGAAATTCAATGCTGGATCCACCCCTAGTATACCCATGCCCTGGACTTTCTCACACCACCCACGGTCGGCTGACCTTGCACAGCTACACATGACGTAACTGGCGGCCACAAAGTAACTCGCACCGCTTCTCCACATCGCGTGGTCCCATGTGATCACAACTGAGCTGTGCGCGCCTGTTTTACACATGCGTTTTCACGGTCACATCACCGCGCCACAACAAATCGGCTGTGTACCTGAAGGCCGCGGGTTAAAAAACAAATTTGCAACATAAAATCCATGCCTAATCCAGACACCGTGTGTCACGAAGTCGTGCCTTTGTGCCCATTGTCACCTTGCTCAGTAAGGGTTTTGGATCGGGAAAACTGACAAATCCATTGCCCCCTGGGGGTAAGCCCATTAGTTGGCAATGCACGCGTTCGTAAGCCTCTGCGGGCACAATTGTCGGCTCTCTGGGGCGCCGAGAAGCCGGAATGTAAAGATGCATTGGGACCGGAGGGTCCAGCCGGGATGCGTAGACGTTATCGCGGCCGATGCTACCTCGCAACAACGCTTCTGGCCCCACTCTAGGCCAGGTTAGCTTCCGCACGCGGCGCCCTCCCCCCCGGGATCACCTCCGCCCCACGTCCCCGTAAACCAAAATAAACAACGCAACGTTTCCGGCTGCCTGACGGGTGGCGAAGCAGCCCAACACGCCGTTCCTCGTCTGGTCCCTGTACGAACATATCACAACTCCGCCACTGTCGTCACCGCGGCCGGCCGGAGCACTTCGTGAGGTGCAGCTTCAGAGCGGCAGCGGCCGCTGCCGGGCGCGGACAGCGCAGGCCAGCGATGCCCCCGGCTACTGGTCGGCGGCAGCCGCGGCCGCTAGCAGCGCTGCCACGCGGCCGGCCGAAGAACCCTTGAGGAAGGTCACGTGGTTGCCCGCCACCGAGTGCACGGTCACGGGGCCACTGCAGAACTGCAACACATGCCACAGCAGCGTCAGAACGGCGACCCAGCCGGCCTGTTCGTACGCTGCGGGGGCCGTGCGGAGAGGTCAGGGCCCGGCCAAGTCAACTGCGCGCGACTGAGGGAGTCCTGTCGCTATGCTCAGGAGCGTAAGACAGATGTGTTATAGTTGCAGCTCAGGTACGCTGCCCTAAAGAACAAAGGTCTCGCACGCATGTGCCTACCGCGGGTTTAAAAGGAGCACGAAAAACGGAGCCACATGGCTCAGCAGTGACGCGACCTAGCGGCGGACGAACCTGACTAAGTTGATAATCTTCGCCGAGGGCGGCGCCACGGTCGTTGTGCTGGGCCTTGACCAGCGTGACGGGCGTGCTCAGCTGACCTTGAGGCTGGTAGGCGTGTCCCGCCAGGATCCGCAGCAGCATGCGGTGCACGATCTCCTGTTGGCGGGGAGGGGGCACGTGACCAGCTGTGGCCGCCGGCGCCGCGGGCGTCCGGCCTCACGTGCCGTCGATGAAGGCACGGGCCGCGAACGGCGCCGCTGTCGGAAATATCCCCACAAATATTGTCCTGCACGAGATGAATCCCCCAGTTAAAATCACTCGTCCCGTCAACCAGGGCCCAACTTGGCGTCCAAAGCGTGTGCAACACACGGCTGGCGACACACCGCGACGGCCCCCAGCACACCCGTCCCCCACACCGGCGCGGCGGCGTCCGCCAGCGGCCGTCAGCACGCCCGTCCCCCACACCGGCGCGGCGGCGCCCGGCGGCGGCCGCTCGCCGGCCAGCTCACCTGCAGCGGCTCAGTGTCGCTGAACCGGCCCGAGCCGGCCAGCACCGCCGTCACGTGACCGATGCGCTCGTCGACAGAGGGCAGCGCGATCAGCTCCGCGCGCAGCTGCAACGAACGCGGCATGAGGCGAGTGTGCGGTGCTGCGCTTCTGTCGGGCTTCAGACATTCATGGCGTGTTAGGAAGATATGACCCGTCGACGAAGACATCACCGCGACTGCACATCTATTTCAACCTTGCTGTGTCACGTCCTTGATGATATAGCGACATTGTATGGGATTTTGCCACTCTGACTTAAGCGGGCGAAAAGAATGATCTCTTCCTATCCTTCGACGTTGACGTATTGACGGATGTCGAATGGATAGAAATGCGCGTAGGCCAGGCAACACGAGCTTCCCAAATCGCGAGGTACACGACGTCGTGCGACACCCGCACCCCGACCGGTCTGCCCGGCGCCAGCTGGCGCTCCGCCTGATCCAGCCGCGCCTCTTGCCCGCTCCAGCACACCAGCCGACCGGCGGCGCTCCGCCTGAGCCAGCCGCGCCTCTTACCCGCTCCAGCACACCAGCCGACCAGCGGCGCTCCGCCTGAGCCAGTGCCACCTCTTACCCGCTCCAGCACACCAGCCGACCAGCGGCGCTCCGCCTGAGCCAGTGGCACCTCTTACCCGCTCCAGCACACCAGCCGACCAGCGGCGCTCCGCCTGAGCCAGTGGCACCTCTTACCCGCTCCAGCGCACCAGCCGACCAGCGGCGCTCCGCCTGAGCCAGTGGCACCTCTTACCCGCTCCAGCGCACCAGCCGACCGGCGGTGCTCCGACCCACCTTCGAGTAGTCGCTGTTGACTAGCGAGACGGCCGTCATGGAGAGGGCGTCCGCCTCGCCGGCCGCCTGCGTCGGCTGGTCCGTGTACTTGCGCGCGTAACTGCTCGTGATCTGAGACACGTAGCTGGGAGGCGGGCCGCCCGCGTCAGACGATGGCGATCAGGTCCGGCGATCCCACTCCCCCCCGGGCGGAGGGGAGGAGTGGGGACACGCGCAGGGACCGCAGAGTGACGGCTCGGGGAGGGGCCTGCCGGCGCGGCTGTCACCACCGGCGCGGGAGCACTGCTCTCCCCGTGTCACACGGCTTTCTAGCTCGGCAGCGCTCGTAGTGCTCACGATACGGCAGCATTTGAGGCCATTGCGTAACGACTGGATCAGCTGAACCAATCATGCTCAAATGACAAAGTTTACGTCGTCCTGCATATGCTGGGGCTATTACGACACTTTTTACGACTATAATTTTCGCCTCGTTCCGGAAGCACGCTCTGATGGCACGCTCGGCACACCCGACCGCTTCAAGGGCCCCATGAATGTGAGGCGGCGAGGGGCCCGTGAGAGTGAGGCGGCGAGGGGCCCAAGAAAATGAGGCCGCGAGGGGCCCCGCGAGATTGAGGCTGCGGGAGGCCCTGTGAGAGTGAGGCAGCGGGAGGCCCTGTGAGAGTGAGGCGGCGGGAGGCCTCGTGAGTGAGGCGGCGGGAGACCCTGTGAGAGTGAGGCAGCGGGAGGCCCTGTGAGAGTGGGGCGGCGGGAGGCCTCGTGAGTGAGGCGGCGGGAGACCCTGTGAGAGTGAGGCAGCGGGAGGCCCTGTGAGAGTGGGGCGGCGGGAGGCCTCGTGAGTGAGGCGGCGGAGACCCTGTGAGAGTGAGGCGGCGGGAGACCCTGTGAGAGTGAGGCGGCGGGAGACCCTGTGAGAGTGAGGCGGCGGGAGACCCTGTGAGAGTGAGGCGGTGGGAGACCCTGTGAGAGCGAGGCGGCGGGAGACCCTGTGAGAGTGAGGCGGCGGGAGACCCTGTGAGAGTGAGGCGGCGGGAGACCCTGGGAGAGTGAGGCGGCGGGAGACCCTGTGAGAGTGAGGCGGCGGGAGACCCTGTGAGAGTGAGGCGGCGGGAGACCCTGTGAGAGTGAGGCGGCGGGAGACCCTGTGAGAGTGAGGCGGGGGAGACCCTGTGAGAGTGAGGCGGTGGGAGACCCTGTGAGAGTGAGGCGGCGGGAGACCCTGTGAGAGTGAGGCGGCGGGAGACCCTGTGAGAGTGAGGCGGTGGGAGACCCTGTGAGAGTGAGGCGGGGAGACCCTGTGAGAGTGAGGCGGGGGGAGACCCTGTGAGAGTGAGGCGGGGGAGACCCTGTGAGAGTGAGGCGGGGGAGACCCTGTGAGAGTGAGGCGGTGGGAGACCCTGTGAGAGTGAGGCGGCGGGAGACCCTGTGAGAGTGAGGCGGGGGAGACCCTGTGAGAGTGAGGCGGTGGGAGACCCTGTGAGATGAGGCGGCGGGAGACCCTGTGAGAGTGAGGCGGTGGGAGACCCTGTGAGAGTGAGGCGGGGGAGACCCTGTGAGAGTGAGGCGGCGGGAGACCCTGTGAGAGTGAGGCGGCGGGAGACCCTGTGAGAGTGAGGCGGCGGAGACCCTGTGAGAGTGAGGCGGCGGGAGACCCTGTGAGAGTGAGGCGGCGGAGACCCTGTGAGAGTGAGGCGGCGGGAGACCCTGTGAGAGTGAGGCGGCGGGAGACCCTGTGAGAGTGAGGCGGCGGGAGACCCTGTGAGAGTGAGGCGGCGGGAGACCCTGTGAGAGTGAGGCGGCGGGAGACCCTGTGAGAGTGAGGCGGCGGGAGACCCTGTGAGAGTGAGGCGGCGGGAGACCCTGTGAGAGTGAGGCGGTGGGAGACCCTGTGAGAGTGAGGCGGGGGAGACCCTGTGAGAGAGGCGGGGGAGACCCTGTGAGAGTGAGGCGGCGGGAGACCCTGTGAGAGTGAGGCGGCGGGGAGACCCTGTGAGAGTGAGGCGGCGGGAGACCCTGTGAGAGTGAGGCGGCGGGAGACCCTGTGAGAGTGAGGCGGCGGGAGACCCTGTGAGAGTGAGGCGGCGGGAGACCCTGTGAGAGTGAGGCGGCGGGAGACCCTGTGAGAGTGAGGCGGTGGGAGACCCTGTGAGAGTGAGGCGGTGGGAGGCCCGTGAGAGCGAGGCGGCGGGAGACCCTGTGAGAGTGAGGCGGCGGGAGACCCTGTGAGAGTGAGGCGGTGGGAGACCCCATAGGATTGAGGGGTCGCCCTGTGAGGCCGTGGACGCTCGACTGACCTCGGTGAGCCGTCCAGCAGCACCAGCGCGCGCGGCGCCGGCCGGCCACTCCTCTCCAGCTGTGCGGCCATCTCGTACACTACGGCCGCGCCAAACGAGTAGCCGGCCAGCACGAGCGGCGCGCCAGCCGCATGGGCCTCCACCACCTGGCGGCGGACGGCCGCATTGTCAGCGGCGAGGACACAAAGGCGGTGTTCCAATGGCGACGGTTGCTCGTGGCGCGGCGTGAGCTCCAGCTTCGGTGAGGCGCACGGCAGCGCAGAGCCACCTTACGAGTCTGGGCCACGCACGAGTCGCGAGGCCGTGCCCAGTGGACCAGAACGGCCATGGTGGTGTCAGGTCAACTCCCGTCGTCTGGAGGGGAGCACCGCACAACCGGCAGGCACAGTCTATCCCCACACGCACCGCCTGAACCGCGGGGAGACAAACGGAATAGACGGATCCAGACAGAGAAAAGGGGACAGACGGAGAAGGGCGAGCCAGGCGGAGACAGACAGAGGACAGGAACAGGCGGAAAAGGACGGAGCAGTCAGAAACTGACAGAACAAGATGGGCTCTGGCGCATCTCCCGTCAGCGGCACACGCAGCGCGCACCAGCAGCAGGGCCCGGTGCGCCGGCCGGCCAGCGGCGCGGCGTCTCACCTGCAGATAATGGGTGGCCAGGGCGGCAATGTCGGTGCACGGTGCGTCGTTCGTGCACTGCAGGCCGAACACAGGTCCGCCCACCTGAGCCGCCATCTCCTGCCGGCGGAGCGGACGGCGCTCAGGCACACCCCGCCACCGGCGCAACGGACGGAGCTCAAGAACACTCCGCCACCGGTGCAGCAGGCGGCGCTCAGGCACACCCCGCCACCGGTGGAGCAGGCGGCGCTCAGCCACACCCCGCCACCAGCGGAGCGGGCGGCGCTCAGCCACACCCCGCCACCAGCGGGGCGGGCGGCGCTCAGCCACACCCCGCCACCGGTGGAGCAGGCGGCGCTCAGGCACACCCCGCCACCGGTGGAGCAGGCGGCGCTCAGCCACACCCCGCCACCAGCGGAGCGGGCGGCGCTCAGCCACACCCCGCCACCGGCGCAGCGGCGGCGATCTCGGAGATCGAGCCTGGAGCGATATCTCCCGCGCGCTACACGCCGTCACGCTGCTCGTCAAGCGGAAGGCCGGCGCCGGCTCGGTGACGGTCTGGGATTGGGTTCGTCGGTTTTGACGCGGCCATCCCGGGGCCAACGCAGCGGTCTGACACGCTCAGATGGCAGGTGCTACTCGCGAGAGGATGGCGATCAGTGCACTTGGACCTGAAACCAGCCGTTACCCTCAAAGGGTTGGACGCACAGGCGTCGCCACAAGAGGGGACAGGGAGCCGCTCGGCCCAAAAGTTTGAAACGATAACGCTGAATCCGGTCCACGGTGGGCGTGGGGAGATCAGCTAGGTTTCCACATGGTTCTGTCCTCAGACCCACATCGTTTCCCCGCAGCCTCGAGCTTCGACCCTCGAGCGACATCACCGGCTGGACGCCGAGGCAGCTACAGGCCTGCTCCACTCACACTGATCGGCTGAGCGATGCCCTCGATGGGGTGGACGACGTAGACGGGCGGCTGGCTGGAGCCGGCCGGCTCACACAGCGGCACCAGCGGCCGGCGGGGCGTCAGCCGGCCCGTCTCGTACGTGCCGTCCGGCCGCGGATC